CCATTTGAAACCTTGAGTTGGTTACCCGTATCCTTACATCCCAGTGAGAGTTTGTCATGCCAGCAAGAATACTCCCTTGATTTACGGCTCAGTTTAGACCAGTTAACCCTGCCATCATCAGCCGAGTCATACAAGTCAGTTTGCAACGAATCTTCAGTCCATGTAAGCATCACGCTCCACGATTTGGTTGCAAGGACATCTTCATATTCTTCATTCCTTCATCATATACGTGCCATTGTCACCATTGTTTCCTCTTTGAGTCGGCTTCGTTAACACTTTGGCTAGCCGTAATGTGTAGCCAGTTTTTCCGTTATTTTTTTCGATCGGCCCACCTTCCGGCCTCTGTTTCTGGTTTCCATAGGTCCCGGGACGTGCGGATTGACTCGCACTGTCACATATATGCTCTTCCGATTTTTGTTTGCTTTATTTCCCTCCACCTCCACCATGGAGATGGGAACTCTTTGCATTTTCCGCTGGCCTTGGTCTTGGTAACCTCCAATTTTGGGAGCATCGGGGATAATTCTGGGGAACAACCCAATTTTAAATCCTCAACTCGTGAATTCCTGAAACATTTCCATGGAGATGAGTCAATCCCTATTGCAACATCGTCCATGAGGACCAGCTATTTTGCTGAGGTCCACTGGTTTGCAAACGTTCTATTTTGGGAATCAACCCCAAAACTATGCATTCTCCCTGTGATGGCCGTATCTGCAAGCGTCCACTTCGATAGGCTCCGATGCCATTAGGCCGCTTGTGAGGCCCAAACCGATCAGGACCCGGGCTTGGTGGGAAAGTGTTGGCTGCTCCGAAAGGAAGTTTTTTTTTTGGTGGGTGTGGCCAATGTTGAAAGCCAAACTTTGGTTGAATGTAAAAAAATTGTTTGTATTGTCAACTTTTTACGAAAGCCAGCTGGGAAGCTGGCTAGTTGTTATTCGCGAACGAGGTGAGAAAGGGGGTGAGGGGCCTGGAGCCGAAAACGTCGTAAATAAGCGGTGTTTTAGACGTCAGAAAGCTATGGTTTTGCAGGGTAATGTACCGTGCGGCAAAACAGTGACGGTGGGTATCGATTCCCCCTAGGTCCGGTTTTCTTGGGTCAGTCAGTTGGAAAAATAGATGGGCTACCTACTTAGAGAAGTGGATGGGGAGAAAGACATACTGGAGAGAGAAGGAAGTTTGCCTGAAAGTTGAAATAGCGAGAGAAAAAGAGAGAGAGAGGCAGAGAGAGAGAGAGATATATATATAGATTTTCCCAAAATTCTGACATTTTTTTGGACATTTTTGGCCCCTCTATTGGACCACACACGATGCAACCACTGCAACCTCACGGAGATGAGAAAAAACCAACAACAATTTCTTGCACGTGGAAGGGGTGACGAATATATGCAGTGGGTTCCGAAGTGGGACCACTATTCTCTTGGACCGTTCCTTGTAGGGGATTTGAGGGAACTTCTGTCGGCATGGGATGTGAAATTAGGAAACTTTGGAAAGAGAAAATGAAAATATGAAATATGAACGTAAGGATCATTGAAAGTCTGAGGGCAACAAGTTTGCGGGTGAAAAATCTGTGGGTGAAAAATGTGACAAGGCCATGCGTGAAAAAGTCTGTGGGTGAAAAGTCTCTGGGCGGAAATTATGTGGGTGAAAAGTGCGCGGGTGAAAAGTCCCTGGGTCAAAAGTATATGGGTGAAACGGGTATGGGTGAAAAGTCTGTGGGTGAAAAACCTGTGTGCGAAAAGTGTATGGGTGAAAGTTTGTGGGTGAAAACTATATGGTTGAACAGTCTTGGGTGAAAAGTATATGGGTGAGAAGTATACGGGTGAAAGATGGTGGGTGAAAAGTCGGTGGGTGAAAAGTCTGTGGGTGAAAAGTATGTGGGTAAAAAGTCTGTGGGTGAAAAGTATGTGGGTGAAAAACTTGTGGGTGAAAAGTCTCTGGTTGAATAGTCTGCGCAAGAAGAGTCTCTGGGTGAAGAGTCTCTGGGTGAAAAGTATATGGGTGAAAAGTCTGTGAGTGAAAAGTATGTGGGTGAAAAGCCTGTGGGTGAAAAGTCTGTGGGTGAGAAGTATATGGTTGAACCGTTTGTGGGTGAAAAGTATATGGGTGAGAAGTATATGGGTGAAAGACGGTGGGTGAAAAGTCTGTGGGTGAAAAGTATATTGGTGGAAAGTCTGTGGGTGAAAAATCTTTGGGGGAATATAGGGGTAGAGGGGATGCTGGCTTTCGTTCCCCCCTTCTCAGGTTTTGTGATTTTTTTGGGCTGGCCAATTTCGACGAATGTTGCAGAAGTGAAGCCAAGACCAGCCTTTTTGTTTTTGAAATTCAGTGACGCAGTCCAAACAGTGACCAAACTTGTGCTGTTTGCCTGTCATTCTGCGTGAAGGAGATCCTCCACATACAACCATCGAGACTACAGCAGCTCCAATATCCTTGAGAAGTCGGAGAGTGCCAAACTTACAGCCTCCTGGGACGACTTTCTGATTGGAATGGCATTGGGGTGCCTTACAAAGCAGTTCAAAATGATTGAATTTCAAACCGACTTTTGTGACGGCTTGCGTACTTTGATGATGCATTCACATAAGATGCTGTCTACACCGTTGAGTTGGACGGTATCTCGAAATTAGCAGAACCAGCAGATCAGCCTTCAAGTTGCATTTGTTGGGTGACACCTCTGCTTGGCTTCCAATTCTGACTCCGTGGCGGCCAAGGTGCAATGAGGCTGGAAATTTGGGTTGTGATTTGGTGCCTTTCGGCTAGCTGACAGCTGGTCCCCAGGTTCATTCTCAGCACAAGGGCAAACATCCAAATCCCCTGCATTTCTGGCACTTCTGGTAGGTCAAAACCAGACTTTGAGCTTCAAACCCAGGTTTGTTTGGCACTTTTTGCAGCCCAGATTTTGAGCATAGGGCATCCGCGGTACTCACCTGGCGAGGCCTTCAAAGCCAGACGGATTGCCCACAGGCCGAGGCAGAGACACCTAGAAATCCCGCAGAACGGCTATTTGAATGCTTATTTATCTTATTTTGATGCTAATTTAAAACCATGATAAACTATGTATATATATATATATCATATCTACATGTGTATATGTATACGTATACGTATACGTATACGTATACGTACACGTACATGTACATGTATATGAATATGTATATGTATATGTATATGTAGATGTAGATGTCGATGTAGATGTATATGTATATACATACATATACATATAATGAGATATTTGTATTTTGTATTTGCATTGGTATATGTATACGTATATGTATACGTATATGTATACGTATATGTATACTTATATGTATACGTATATGTATACGTATATGTATACGTATATGTATACGTATATGTATACGTATATGTATACGTATATGTATACGTATATGTATACGTATATGTATACGTATATGTATACGTATATGTATATATACTATACGTATGTATACGTATGTGTGTATGTGTGTATGTGCATGTGTATGTATATGTAGGATACTTGGCCACTTTGGGTACCTTTGTGTGGTATTTTATGTATGCACATTCCCTGGCTATCCTTGGACATGTCTGTCGAAGTGACTATGCTTCGGGTCTTGAAGTGTGTTTTAAGCCGTGCACGGGTGCTGGAAGAAATCTAGCAGCACAGGTTAGAGATGGGAAACCTACCAATTTGGCTCAATTGCCAGATGATTTGGTTATTAGACATTTCTGTTCAGTCATGTTTCATAGGTAAATTCGCGAAGGATGCCTGGGTGCTATGCACGTTTTCCTATGCCCCGATTCCTTCGGAGTCACCGAGAAGCAACCGACCCGTCAAAAGTCGAGCATTGCCTGGCACCTGGCAAGGATACTTTCGAAAGAGCACAACCCTTTCTCTTTGTGAGTTGGAGATGCTACGTTGGGGTACTTGGCATCGGATGGGTTCAACCTGATTCAACTATAAGGGTCTTTGCCAAAGCTATGCTGGTGAACATATATATATATATATATTATATATATATCTATATCTATATATCTCTATATATATATATATATATCTACAGAGTCTGCGTAGTGGTCAGTCGGGCCATTTGGAAGGGACATCTCCGGTCAGTCTGGGTGGCTGGATCCGTTGTCACGGGCGCAAGGGGAGCCCAGGAATTCATACCCGAGTGGGCCCTAATTTGTGCTGTCCATAAGTTGTTTTTGTCATCCATCAAAGCATCAAAAGCGAACATAGCCATGGCCCATCCCCTCAGCCATCAGCAAACATTTCCCCATTTTTTTCTTTTCTCTGGACCCGGCAGTTCAACGGCTCCAACGCTGCATCCAATGAGATACATACTCATGATTACTCATACATGTTCACATAGAATCAAACATATTTTGCATATTCACACCCTGTATTTATTCACCATAGGTACGTCATGATCCGTGAGCAGTGTTCAAAAACCCAACCGATGATTGTACGCCTGCAGACACTGGGCCACATGTACACAAATGTGTGTATATATATATATACACAGTATATTTATGCATGTACAGATTATATATGCATATATAGTATACTATGCATCTCTACCTCTCATCTCCATAATCTTCATAATCTTCCGTCGGAGGCCATGACCTCGAGCTTGAAACTTCCGAAATTCCACAGCTTCCGGGACTCAATGAGAGGGAGGCGCGATGAGGGGGGCAACTGGAGCGGGGATAGTTAAGGAGATAAGGGGAAATGTGTGGACATATTCTGGGATACCTGTATGTACACACACACACACATATATATATATGATGAACAGGCAACGGTTCGCGCTATGCAGCGCCCAATCTATTTTCCTTCCACCTGCAAACGTACGCCAAGTGCGGATTGCACCTGGCCCAAGGGCCCTTTGATCCACACAGCGTCGGCCACGCACATGTTCATAGTTGGACCTCATTGCGACACATCGGCAGCAACTTCCAAATTAACACGCCCTCCATGTGAGGGGCCATTCCAGCTGTGCTTTTCTCTTTCTCTACCAATCACTTCAGTCCTTGTAGGTTCTGGTGAAGCCCAATTTGGAAGACTTCTGATCCTTTGGACCTTTCCAGTTGATGGCTTCCATGTAGGGCGCCAAATCCACGGCGGCTGTGATCTTCTCTGGAGCGGCACCTGTTTCACCAGTGCCATATGTTGTCTTGATCCATGAAAGGTATCCATGGATATCCTCATCCCACTTCGCCCTGGAGATCAACTCGTCATAGGTGAGGCCAAGGCTCTTCACTTTCGGCATCTTGCATACATTCTTACCCCATTGCGCCAGAGGAACACCGTCGGGCGACTCTTTGACCTTATTGGGCTTCGCTGCATGCATTGGGCTGGCACCACGATCCGGAGGGAAGAAGTCACTTCCAGCTGCGGATATGTTATCCCATTCGCTGACCTCATCTTCATCGAAGATCATCCTGCGCTTTGCTGCATCTGACATTCCAGCAAGGCTCGGCGAAGGACCATTCTGATACACCTCATTCATTTCATTCAACAAGGCGGCCGCGGGCACAAGCTCGCTCTTCGGTGCCATGGAGTTCTTGTAGACATCCATGAGCTTTCGCACTTGACCGAAGGCCACTGCACGGTGCAGTAATCCAACCGTCATGTTGATCTCTCTGTCGGAGAGTGGTGCATCGGAGCTGGTGGTCTGCTTCTTATTCACATGCGCCATGAAAAGGACTGGCAAGTTGCCAATTGCAACCTCGGGATTGGGAGGTTGAAACTCAAAGGCTCTATGCAGGCTTGAGTCCTCACTCAAACGCTTCGGAAAAACAGCTTGCTCAGGCTGTTTGCATGTGCAGGCACTATTTGAACTATACATCCTATTTAATTATTTTTACCCCACGTTTACCCCCATTGTTATCTTACTCCAGATTTATCTTGGATAAACTGCAGTTTCTTACAACGGCTTTGCCGGTATGGCATGACAACGAATGGAGCGACGGAAAGGGATATTGGCTGAAGGCAAAAAGGTGGCTATACAAACTTGCATGCCCTTGAGGAAGGCTCATCCATCGTTCAGCTTTTGTTGTTTTTCTTTCTTTCCAGACTGCAAACAAATAGTGATTTCGTAAGTCCCCTGCTCAAGTATCTCAAACAAAGGTTTGGTGTCACCACGTAGCTTTGTCAAACAGTCTGCACTCATTCTGAGATTGTTCACCCAGAACAGGAGGATGTTTTGGCGTTCTGTCGTTTCTTTGGCTATTGCGTAGTCTATCTGCAGTCTCCTTTCTTGGCTAATTGCTTGGCTGCAGCAGCTACGGGTTACAGCATCGAAGAATCCCTTACTATCAAGCACTAACCCGGCAGGGTATTCAGGGGTAAGTTCTCTGAACTCTTTTGGTGTTACACCCCATATTGTTTCCAACATCACTGCTTGATAAGCCTCAATGGCGTCGAGGCCGTTTTGTCCTGAAAGGGTTTCGGCTGCCACTGAAGATCTGACAACTCTGCGAAGCTTCTTGCTCTGCCAATCGACTACCCAGCATGGTGCCCTAGTTCTTTCAAACATTCTTGGCACGGTCAGGCACAGCAGGTAACCTCCTTGGCTTTCGCCATTGGATCTTGTTCCCCAGCCAGCATCAGTGATGCACAGTATGCGCAACTCATCCAGGGGTATTCCTGCAGGAAAACGTAAACACACTTTTCTTTCCTTCATTTCTCGAACAGCTTTGTTGAACATCTGAAGGTGTGCAACTGTTCCTTTATCTTGAATTCCCTGAAGATATGACGCAAGGAATGCCTGATCTGGACGGGTCGCATTGGCTACCCAGGCAAGTTGGCCAGCACATGTTCTCATCAATGAGGCATCGGGCAAGGGAGTTGATGCATTTCCATATTGTTTGGTGGGTATGGGTTCCATTGCATCTATATAAGTTTCCTGGCCGATCTCAATTGCATATGTGCTTGGATCCTGTCGGATTTCAATGCCTGTGTACCTTATGGTATACGTCCGGTAATCACCAAATGGCAAAGTCTTTCGCATCTTGTTCAGAACTTCATCCATTTCGGGGGTTCCACCTCCTATCAGGTCATCTACATGTACCCCACAAACACCAACAAGCTTATCCCCTTTTCGGAGGGTCCACAGGCAGGGGTCAAGTTTGGAAACACTCAGACCTGCAGCGGACATCTCTCTTGAGAGACGCAAGTACCAGGCACGGGGTGCCTCAGCAAGGCCATAGGCTGCCTTTTCAAGGCGGAACAGGTCATCATCTGAAAGACCCATCCACTCTTTGATCTCGCTGGGAGGCTTAAAGTAGATGTTTCTGCTTTGAGGGTCACCTGACAAAAAGGCGGTTTTAATGTCAGCTCCCCAGATTTTCCAACGACAACTGGCACAAATGGTCAGTATCAAGTGTTTGGTTTCTTTTCTCAAAGTAGGTGAATCCGTTTGGATACGTCCAAGTTCTGGGTCTTGCCAACCAACCAACACCAAACGTGCTTTGGGGGTTTTTGACTTGTCGTCAGGATCACTACTTTTCTTCCAAACCAACACCCAACGTGACTTGATGATTCGTTCTGCAGGTATCCCCTTCTTTTTGCATATTGAAGTTACCTTGTTTTCAATCCAGGAATTCCACTCTTTTTGCATGGCTTTCTCAAAGAGCTTTTTGTCTTCTGGGGAAAGTTTCCTGAAATTAACTTCAACCTTTCGTTGTTTGGCTTTGGGGGTTACTGCAAAACATTCTTCAAGCACATTCCAGAGGCAAAGTGGGTTTTCCGTGATGTCCTCTGGATGGACTGTCAGTGACACTTCCAGGACCTGTTCCGTTCGGGCATTGATGGAACGCATTGTGACCTGGAGGTCTTCATCATCATTTGTGGGAACCGGCACACTAGCTGCTTTTTCCAGTTCTTCCATCACTGAGTCGGGAGTTTCAACTGGTTGCTCAGTGTTGGAGGCATCCATTTCGGATTCATGAGGCTCTGCAGTTTCTGCTGGAGGATCTGGACCTAGTGATGGTTCATACGGTGAACTTTCAACATCATCTTCATTTGAGGGTTCATAGAATTGTTCTTCTGCATCACTGTTGATTTCAACTCTTCTACGTTTTTCTTGTGGTTCCTCAGCATCATCAGCAGGCTCACTGGAAAGCGGCAAATCCTGAATGCTTTGGTGCACATCAGGTTGTGGGCCTTCTTGCAATGCTCCGGCAGGAGGCATGCCAGCAGCGCGCTTTCGCCAGTATTCTTCACTTCTGTAAAACCTTCTCCTTATTTTATGGGGCCCGCCCTCTGAATCATGCTCTATTTTATGGGGTTCATTTTTTACATCATCTTCTAACTCCATGTCGGATTCAGCAGGGACATGTGGCACAAGGTCTACATACTGGCCAAAGGAGCCTTTTGCACGCAGCTGGTCATCAGCACGTTCCAAGTCGGGAGACAACTGGCCGACTGCAAGTTCTTTTGTCAGCTTTCGGAATGCAGCCTCATCTTCTGGAAGAGGTCGTAACCCTTCAGGTGAACATCTATAGAGAAACCCATTGAAAGAAACCCATATGAGACGGGGTATTGGACCATCAGTTGAACTCTCCATCCCAATGATTTTTCCTGGGCCTATCCATGCACCATGTCGTGTGGCTATCATCCCTTTGCCTTGACGGCGGAACATGTAAACCAGTTGACCTTGGACATAGGGACCGCGCATAGGTCTATTCCTACCAGCTATTGCTCTTCTCCAAGTGTCTTTTGCATGCTCTTCTATGAATGCCTTTGCTGCTTCATCTCTAAGCTTGAGGCTGTCGGCAAATTGGGGGTCCACTAAGGCTTGGGACTGTGTCATGGGATTCATTTGCTCTGACATGTCGGACAGGGCACCTGCATGTCTTGATTCTCTACCTAAAAACCATTGGGCAGGCGAAAAACCATGACGTCTCAGTTGTTCGTTACGGGCAGTTGCACATGTCTCAATGACCTCTTCCGGAGACGCATCAGGAAAAGATCTCCAAACCCTTTGGGCCATGCCACGCAGGATGCGGTTTGCGACTTCCACTTGGCCAAGCTGCCAATGGCTTTCAGCAGCAGTATGGAGCAGCTGTATGTTATGGCGAATCAGAAAACGTTGCAAATCACTGGATATGTTTCTGTGGTCTGGATCCATGAAAACAACTTTCGGATGGCCATAGGGTCTGCACCAAACTTGATGGAAGGCCTTTGACAAACCATGCGGTCCAGGCGGCACAACAATTTGCTGAGCAAAACCGGATGCCATATCCACTGCAGTGAGCACATTCCGTTTGGTTTCAACCATCTTACCATTTGAGTCTTCACGGTGCAATTCCACCTGTACATAGTCCAGTCCAACAATTTGGTTTGGGCTTTCTGCATGCTGGATGGTGGCTTTCCTGTACAAAGGCGGGTTCTTCAGCTCATCGCAAATGGAGCATTTGAACTCTTTAATTGCACGCATGATGGCTTCGGATGACTGGCACCTCAGAGCTAATCTTCGCAGTTGTTCAGGGGATGAATGTCCAGTATTGACATGAACTTTATGCACAAGTGCTCTGGCTCTGCGCATTTCTAAGGCAGTTGGGTCTTGCAAAACGCCCTCTGAATCTTGCTCACCTGAATCAAGCTGTTCCAATTCTTCGTCATCTTCTGCAAGAACTTCTTCAACATGAATGCTTGGATCAACATGCTTGGGAGGCTTATTGCGCAAGTATTGGACAAGACGTTTGCAAAACTTTACGGGGTATGTTTCTGCCCAACTGGTCAAATTGATACCCTGATATTTACCTGCGAGATGCTCGTGCTGGTGTTTGCCATCGCACCGACAAGTTACAAGTCCGGCAGCCAACTCTTGGTCGGTTGTCACAATTTTTGTCGGCTTCAAAACTGGTGCTTTGGTCTTAGGTGAACGAAGACCAAGTGCACACTGATCAACCCTAACTTCCCAGGCATCATCCAAAGTCAACTCGGCCCAAGCCTGAGATGCTAATGGATTTTCTATGTGGGCATGACCTCCTAGAGCACACTGCAGGTTCCAGGCTTCGGACACGTTGTGGAGATAACGACGGGCAACAGCTCTGTTACTCATGATCTTCTCAAAAGTCTTATCACTCTTACTCATGTTGAGTCGTGTCCAAGGACCCCAAGGCTTGCATGGGAAGCTGAACCATACATGCTCTGGTCGGCAAAGGGCTATCAGCAAAAGGAGGCATCTACGATCATGCAACTTCGTGAAGTCCTGGCCATACTGCAGACCAAGTCGGATGCTCGCCTTTCCAGTTTGTTTTTCATACTCTTCGGACAAACGTGCTCTGCCAGTGAAAACCTCTATCAAACCAACTTTGCAATCCAACTTGGAAGCTTGATCACCAAGCCATTGTTTCAGCTCGGCACGGACTTGCTTCGGATTTGTGGCAAGACGGGACAGGACCAGGCGAAGACTGGCTTTGCGCAAGGAACCAATGCTTTTCTTCAAGTTGTGGACACTGCTGTCGGTCATGGGCAGTTTGTTATCTAATTCAACCCAACTTATATCTTCATAGAGTGCTTCTACTGGGAGTTCATTATCCTTGTTGGGTATTGGATTAGATTCACTTTCACAACAACATACACAACTGGCAACATGCTCATGCTCAGCATCGGTGGGCGATGCGCAGGCAGCTTCATGTGATTTGACATGGTCACTGTCAACATGCCGGAATGCAAAAATGGCAACGCTCATTGGATTCACAGGTCGGCGTTCCTCTGAAGGGCTTCTGATCCTCCAGGGCGACACATCCATGATTCCATGTGAGTCAAGGTTGGCAACAGAACATTCATAGGCTACCTGAGCGGCAGTGGGTGGCATTCTTTCTTTCTTTGGCTTATATGCCACTGCAGCATATGTGATAGAACCCTTGGAAACATCAAACACTTTTGACAAGGCTTCGGCATGTTCTGTAACATCTATTACCCCATTTTTGGTATTCTTCACCATCCCTTGAAAACAACGTTTCTTATCTAATGGAGTATCCCGTTTATTTCCCCTGTTATTACCCTTATTGGCATGTTGAGGCTTCTGCAACGGGGGAGCCATGTCCTCTACAGGTGTCTCAATGTCCACTGGTTCGGACACATCATCGCTGATTGTATTGGGCTCATGTTGTACTTGATGATCGCATTTGGCCACTTCCAGATCAACGGTCGGAGTGAACAGGGGCAAAAGCAGGTGACCGTTTGAGGCTTGACGAAGAGGTGTTTGATGAAGTCCATGTTTCTCGCTTGTAATTGTATGATGTTTCAAATCCAAAACAGCTTCCATGGCTTCCAGAACTCTTCGTGACAGTAAAAACGGTGTCACACCAGGAATCACATATGTGGTGATTTGGCCCTGCAGTTTTCCCCAAACAACATGTCCACTTGAGGCCGGCAGTGGTGGTCTCTGTTTTCCCGTTAAAACCTTTCAACTCCACAGCAGGCAAGTTGACCTCGACTGGAGGCGGAAACCCATTCTCCTTGAAGTGCTCAACGAGGCTTTTGGCGGTTTCCAAACCTATCACTGACGTGGTGCAACCTGTGTCAACGATGGCATATCCCTGAGGAATGGAGGCCAAAAACACATCATCTACTGTAGAATCAGTCGTGCAGGAAAGGTTGAACTCGGTGATCATGTAGGAAAAATGGCTAGCGATCTCGGCTTGTGTGAGATTCACATCTTCTTTTCTTCCAGATGACTTGGGACCTTTTCCATCACCTTTCCTCTTGGAAACTTTGGAATCAGGCTTGAAGGGCTTGAGAGTTGAACCCTGTGAACTACCAGCTGCAGAACCATCGGGTGGAACGGCGACAACTGGGTAGTAAGTTGATGGGCCAGCTCTGGATTTCTTTATCTCTTTGACCTTTTTCTTGGTCTCTTTGTATGTTTTGTAGTTCTTCCGGAAATCCCTCTTAGCCTTTTTCTGCATTTCAAACACTTCAGCCAACTCATCTTCACTTTCATAGTCATTTTCCCCATTGTCCTCACCCATATAGACCTCGGCATCATCATCGCCTGAATCGCTGATGGGCATGTCGATGGAGGAACTCTCATCATCTTGTTCTTGAACAGCATACGCCTCACGGCGTCCAGGTCTCAGTTGGATCTTGGGTGGTTTGCGGTCTTCTCGTTGGTCCTCCAAGTCTGAGGCACGCAAAATTCTTTCCACATCCAAAAATCGGGAACTACCACCGGTTGAACGAATCACCAAAGTGCGTTGCTCACGATTCAATCCAAACTTCCGCATGAAAAGGTGTCCAAGAACAGACTGAGGGAAAATCGGCTTTGGCTTTCTGTGTGATGGCTCTAGGGTGCCAAGCATTCTCTGCATTGTTTGTTTTGCTTTGTCGATATCTCCTTTTTCAGTACCAGTGGTTGATTTGGCTTTCTTGGAACCCTTCATCGAACTGCGAACTGAATCTCTACCACTTGCAAATTCAGATGCAGCAGAAGGGGCACGTCGTGGCACTGCCTTCGGCTGAGGCTCCGAAGGTTCGGCACCTGAGGCTTTGGCCTGGGCTGGTGGTGGCTCAGGCACTTCAGGTTCAGCTGGAGCAGGAGGCTCGACGTTCTCATCGGTGTCATCGGTATGTTCAGCACTTTCAGATTGCCGGCGTGGCAAATCATCAGAATCTTCCAAGGAACTGGCAACAGGTGATGCCGGCTCCAAACGACGCTTGGAATCACCACGTTTGCGGCGTTTGGCATGTGCAGCTTCACGTTCCTGTTGTATCAGATTTTCCAGGCGACTCAAGGCGGTCTTGAACCTAGCTGAAAATGCTGTCGTTCCTTCAGCTGGTCGTTTCTTCAAGTGGAAAAGGAATTCATCTATTGACTCATGCAGCTCTACCTCAGGCAAGTGTCTATAGTGCTTATCCAGTGTATCCAGAACGAGCAGCCATCCTTTGTCAGAACGTAGTTCAGCGACAGATAGGTGTTCGGTGCATCTCCAAGCTTCACCTGACAGGCGACTCAAAAGCTTCGGTCCTGCCAAGTGCTGGTTCTTGTCTTCCAGTGCAGCTACGGATAGAATCACCTTCCGTCTGAACTCTCGGTACTGACCAGGGCGACCGTCAAAGGTCAAATCCTTAAAAGGATCACGAAAGTCCATGGGACCAGATGTGCTTTGCGCCACAAGCAATGATTGCGAGGCGCCACAGCCAAGGTGCAGTGAAGCACCTTCCGGTGTACGGCAAGGAGCCGCTGGAGCTTACAGCTCCGCTACCATGATGAACAGGCAACGGTTCGCGCTATGCAGCGCCCAATCTATTTTCCTTCCACCTGCAAACGTACGCCAAGTGCGGATTGCACCTGGCCCAAGGGCCCTTTGATCCACACAGCGTCGGCCACGCACATGTTCATAGTTGGACCTCATTGCGACACATCGGCAGCAACTTCCAAATTAACAATATATATATATATACATACATACACATACAGTATATATATATATACATGTGATGTGTGCTTGTCTCAACAGAAAGGGGGATTGAAACAGTATATCCAACATGGGGATTGAAGCACAAAACATCGACAATTCACCAATGACTGGTCCATTTTAGTGGGCAATCTGATGATCACATATTTTGAGACATGTACCATGTTACAAAGGATGGAAAGAAGTCCCAAAAAAGATGTGGCACCCTGTTACTGGAATGGTCCGTAGTCCAAGCAACTTAACATAGGAACTTTCAATAGATGAACAAGTTGGACATCGAAATTAGTAAACCTTCATTTGTTGACAATCCGGCAACCGATCTTTTTGGGACTGAGAGCCATGCCAATGTTCTTGGTACGTGAGCCGTGCCGAGGAGCCAAAGACTTGCGGCTATGGCTGTGGTTTGGCTCCAACCAAACATCCACGAGGCCGGCTGACCAAGGCGCGATGTCAGTCCTGTCCTGGGACGATTGTGGCAGTCTTCAACCATTTTTCTTGGGGGTTTCAGGAATTTTAGATCTTGTTTTGGATGATCCTGACCAAGCGGCGTTGAAACGAAAAAATGATAAAGACCATATTTGGGGTAAGGCCATGCTTTCCCCTAGATTTTCCCTTGAATCAATCCATTGGCAACCTCTTTTGGACGCTCCTTTCCCACATGAACCCTGGTGCAAAGTCCTTGGTAGGAGTCCAGACTTCCAACGCTTCGTTTTACAAGCGATGCATGAGGACTTTATCGATCCATGAGGACGTTGCTTTAAGGGCAGAGTCAAAATTTGTGGTCAATGGGCCAATGGGACAATTCTTATGCATTCTTTTTCAGTCTGAACTATTCATAACCAAGACATTCTTTGGAAAAGCACCCAAAAGATGACATGTTTGACCCAGTCCCAAAGGGAGCCCATTCCTCCCATGCCTCCTTCCTGAGGGCGCTTCTGCTTTAGACTTGCTTCGCATTGGGGTCGACTTGTTGTTTTTTTCATCTGGAGGATATCCTCGAAAACATGTTTTTTTTGTGTGGAATCTACGGATTGATCCCATTTCCCTGATCCAAGTGAGACAAACAAGCGCCTGATAATATCGGCCAGGCGAGATCCTTAGGATCTCACGACCTTGGCGGGTCCCAGTTGATATCTCGAACAGGGGAATTACAGGTGTATCCAACAGCACAAGAAAAGCGGACGTGTCAATATGGGTCCTTTATACTATGAGTTACTAATACTATGAACCAGCCATTTTGGTGCGAAGATGTGCGAAGTATCTAATTTATGATAATCTAGATACACGATTTTGACTCCTGGATGTACAGGGCAAAATAATTTCCATTTGCAAAGAAACACAGACGAAATGAATCCTTTTCAAGATCAACAATTCTGTTCATTTTTAGGGATGGGGAAACCAAGGTACATTGTTGTCAGGTGAATGAAAAAACAGCCATGTCATATCATTTCATAATTCTTCAAACGATTTTCCTTTGTAGTGGGTCTCCATAGTTTTCATTCTGAATTGTCGGGTCATGTAGATTATTTTGGATGTCTCAAAATTTGGCATCCCACAATCCCACGGCTTATCATGATTTCCTCTTGAACATGGACCATTTGGGGGTATTCCCCAGTTTGAATCATTTTGAGGCACTCATATGGGGACGCAGGAACGAACCCGTAGCAGCTATGGCAGCAAGGGGATGATAGGTTGGATAAACCAGGCACAGGTGAAAGCACAGCTGCAGCTTGTCCGAGATATCAACGTCCGGACCACACGACGAAACTTCCCACCTTTCCGGGACCGCTTTAGGCCCAATCAACTCAGGCCTGCTTCGTAAAAATCTTTGAAGGAATTGTAACTTTGTTTTCTGGGTGCATATAGCATGAGTTCTAAGCACCTGGCCGGTAGGACTGCCCACCTGAGGATGGTCCGCGGGACACTTGGGACTGCTTGATACTGCGGTTCCCAGATATGATCCATGCGGCCGTGCCCTTCGCCTTGTTGAGCTGATCAGGTGATTACGACAACAACCGGCAGAACTCAACTGTGGATGGGTCCAAAGATGCACAAACCACCAGATGTTGGGCTAAAGGATCTAATCATTTCGAACTTGATAGCTTCATGGCCCATACCCAAATTGAGTTTGCTGGCACACCTTTGAAGCAAAGAGAGTCAAGAAAACTTGTTTCTCTGGCCTTGCCATGTACAATGTACAGGATTGTACGGCCTGGCAGACATGTTTTTCATCTTGGAACCCACACCAAGCCACCTTGGGGTTCTTGGTAGAACGTCGGCAACCTCCGAGAAGTATGCAGGATGGGAGATCGGGTTTCAGGAGCCGGAGACAAGTAGCTCCAGATTGTCTGCCAGTCTCAAGGCAGGGTCTTGCAGTGGCAACCTTCCAAACACGGTTCCTTTTTACAAAACGGGTGTTTGTTCATGAAGCATCCCTTGCGAGCAGCATGGGAATGTTGCCACAGTGTTTTTTTTCTTTTTTTTTTTTCTAATGGGAGAGTTTTGCTGTGCAGTTTGGTACAGACTCTCAGACGGATCCTTGTAGTTGAAATTGGCGGTCGACTGCAGCTTGATGACTTGACGTGTTTCTTATGGTTGAACCGGGTGCCAAAAATGCTGGATATCATGTGATAACAATATGTGGGGAAAAAGTGATATACTCTATGATATTACAGTGATGATAGGTGATTTAGCGTCAATTTCGCTGTCGTGCCACAAATGACTGATCCAAGATTTGCGAGCTGATTGGATGGTAAGAGTGATTTCCTTCTCTAAGATTTCCTGGGATACTTTACTCACTCCACTTATATCCACTTATATATCCGTTGAGGCAAATATATTAAGTATGTATAATTATATGTATATATATATATGGTCTCGTGTTCCGTGTTCCTACCCCCCCAATGATATGGGTCCCCAGGTAGCACCCGTCCAGCCTCGTATTTGCTAGGTCTTTGCAGCATTTCTGACAACCAGCCTCGCATTTACTAGGTACATGCTACCTTTTAGACGACCTACGTAGCAAACCTACTCCCTCAAAGTACCCACGTGCTACCTATAGTCATATATACATGTTCTATGTATCTACTTCCTAGTTACTACATACATACATACATACATACATACATACATACATACATACATACATACATACATACATACATACATACATACATACATACATACATACATACATACATACATACATACATACATACATACATACATACATACATACATACATACATACATACATACATACATACATACATACATACATACATACATACATACATACATACATACATACATACATACATACATACATACATACATACATACATACATACATACATACATACATACATACATACATACATACATACATACATACATACATATACATACATATATATACATACATATGTATATACATATACATATACATATACATATAGTATACATATACATATACATATACATATACATATATATATATACACATGTATATATATATAAATATGTATATCTCTCTCTCTCTATATATATATATATATACACGCAGTACAACACCCCCACCACACCACAGGCGGGAGGGAGGACAGTACCACACCCCCACCACACCATGGGGGGAGGTATAATGTATATATATATATATATACATGGAGAGTACTCCAATGCTTCTTGAAGCACCATCCTATTGAAGCCGGCATATCGATTGCGGCCTGGTCTTAGAGAAATCCTCAGTTGGGGGTACCACACGCACTTTTTGAGCCAATGTACACCAAATCATTTTACTTCTATATAAACGTCTGGATACGTCTGGATAGTTATCAGATGTTCTCAGTTTTAGATTTCATATTTTTTTTTCTTCACAAAACGATATGAAAACGCACCATTTTTTCCGATGAAACACACATGAATCCATCATTGAAAGTCGACCGTTTTCGCCCCGTTTTCCTTTTTTCATGGCGTTGAGGAGAAGGCTGTGCGCCGGGCTCCAACACCCTCACCGCCCAGGCAGGGGCTGAAAAGGTGATATTAATATAAAAAACTGGTTTGAATGATATTAATTAACTCAATGTGGTTAATGGATAGTAGTGGCATACCACCACATCTTTGTGGGGGTTGCTATCACAAATGACAACACAATGGACGAACATGTTGCTGACATCTTTCAATATCTTTCATACACAGATAAGAGCCAAATTGAGAAAACAAACGGTATACGAGTGGATTTACGCAAAGATGTGGTTTGATTTCGTGCTTCTTCCTGGTGCGGAGGTCGGAATCTGAGCAGAAGCACGGTGACCCAATGAGCATACTCGGGCAGGGTCTGAAGGTTTGGCATGCACAACCTATGGTTGCCTTATTGGGTTGGGTTGGTGGTAGGATTTGTGGGGTATCAGCAGCAATTCCCTTCCTGGGGCCCTAAAGGGTTTGGTTTGGTTTGCCTTTCACTATAAAATCCCTACGATTTTAAATGCCCCCAAACGAAACCCAGCTTTAGTGTTAGATCTATTCATTTTGGGGGTCTTCTGGGGGGAATTTAAGGATAAAATCATGTCATAAATTCGAACATGGCCGAATCATGTCATATGGGTTTGTCTGAAAATAATGTACCCCCAAATTTGATGGTTCATCATCATTTCCTTCCCCAAACTATCAATTTTTGGGTAGCCCAATTTTCAGACAGATCCATATAGATCATTTTTTTGGGATGGTCAAACCCCTCTACGAAATGTTCTTGGAAGGACCATCGTTTCCATGGACCGCTGGCAGAGCTTTTTTTTTTCAGGAATCTCTCGGACTTCGAAGAAGAGTTGTCGAGGTGACGGCTATTTTTGTTAGGGGTTTTGAGCTGGGTTGAAGCAAGAAAAATGCTGGTTGATAACCATCCACTTAATGTGGATAACTATGGAATATATAAGAAACAATATCATGTTCATGGATCGTCTGAAAATGCGGAATAGCCCGAAAATAGAAATCTTAATCATGAAGCTGATGAAAACCTGTATGCGATTTTCGGGCACAAATATGTTTTGACAAGCCTGAATGGTGTTGGCTCCAAATTGGGGTACCAACAGACCCACAGAAGCAGCCGTTCTTGCTATTAAACCGCCCGCCCCAAACCTAAAGATCCTGCAAAAATGGGGATACAACCAGCATGGAAACAGCAAGGTGATGGGTCATAACAAGCAACAACGGTGGTTATTTCCGATGGTTTTCACTTAGTTCCGCAAAGATTGGGATAGCGATCTCATTTGACTTTCATAGTTGGGGGAGAGGTGGCTTAACCACCAACCAGTTTTTTTCTTTGGTCCTCTTTTTGTGGATGGTATTGACTCATGACAAGTGACAACATGAACTTCGTGCTAATTCAGGATTTGAGCAATTTGAGGTACAAGTAGGAACATTTGAGAACATCAAAGGATGGGAATTGACAGATATTGACAAGGCCTCGCAGCGTTTGCAGAAATTCATCCACGTTTCCGATGATGCGAAAAATCATCCAACATGCGATCGGCTGCCTTAGCCTACGCTAAATTTTGGGTAGGTTTTGGTGTCCCCCAGTTGCAGGTTGCCCAATGCATGGCCATTCTGGCGATTGTCACCCCAACAAGCCACCGAAAAAGGATTTTTTCATTTATTTGAAACACTAACATTTGAAACAGTAACATATCCCATAATATCCTATAATTTCCCGTAATTTCCCATGATAGATTATCCCATGAAAATATCCCATCAATATCCCATTCTTATATTATTGGAACAATGGGATATCAATAGAATAGTGATTTCCATCATATTTTGATATATTTTGATTATGAATATCTTATCAAAAACCCATCAATATCCTATGAGTATTCCATTTTGTACCGGGAAGCTACCCATGTGGGCCAGGTCTCCCTCGCGGCCCGCGAAGCGCAGACCGCAGCAGCCGCGGGGAAAGTCCAGAAGTTGGATTTTTGTGCTGGTTGAAGCAAAGGAAAATTGGGGGATATTGTTGGGACATTGACATACTGTAAAATTGGGTTATTGAGATGTTAATGGACATAATTGGATGGTTCCAATGCAGTTTTGTTGAATGGATGAAATGATTGATGGCTTGGATAAAGCCATGGCATGTTTTTGGCATTTGACCAATATGGAAAGCAGGGGATAGCAATGATAAAACACATTCTCCAGTAACATGGCAATGAAACATTGATTGAAATTCATGCCTATTGTATTGTCCACTGGTAAATCATCTATAAACAATTGCCAGGGTACTTGCTGTAAAAAGAATTGCCATTCTGCGCCTGTGTGACATGAGCCTTGAATTATTGTTGCCTCTCCTGCAATTTTGATTTTCCCAAAGTCTACTACGCTCTCCAGCGAACGAAGCTGGCAATGAAAAATGCATCGTTTGTAGATGATTTACGTGCCAAAAAGCGTAGCATCTTTTTCTTTCCCTGGATCCAGCGTACCATTTTTTAAGGTCGTACCATAACCAGGTCCTTCTCCAGCCCGGCCCTGGGGCCCTCAGACGCCCAGGTCGCGCTCCCCGGAGCGCGTGCCGCCCACGCAGTTCGAGGATTATGAGCCCGCAGGGGATGGCCTGGATGCACAGTGACGACGTGTCACGAGGTGTTTTTTTTGTAGAGTTTTGGCCCACTCATGGGGTGGAGGAACTTCAAAGTGCCGAGTTTTTTTTTTTTAAACCAGAAAGTGTTTGAAAGGCTGAAGCTCGGTGGGTCAGTTGTTTCAGGGGAGGCACCTGGTCTTTGGAATGCAACATTGAGTTAGGAAAACCAGTACCCTCTGGTAAACTAACATAGCTATTGAAAATGGCCATTTATAGTGGATTTACCCATAAAAAATGGTGATTTTCCATAGCTATGTTAGTTTACCAGAGGGTAAGGGAAGTTGATTTGCTTTCATACTTTGCCAGGAAACTGAGTGTTGAAAAACCAACGAGGGTTTCTCGAGCCGTACGAGCTACGAGCTTTATGAGCCACCGAGTAGGTAATGTAAAATCATCCCTTGATCCTGCACTGTGTCCGGTCCACTGGACGCTTCCGAGGCAGTGGCTGGTATGCTGAAGCCTCAGATTTTTGTCCTCAAAGGTCTTGAAAGATTTTGAAACCAAACTTTTGTTGACATGGACCATATGTTTTTTTTAATATATGGATCAAAACGGATGATTTCGATCCATTTCTTGTGGCCCGATTTGTCTTGATATCCCCCCAAAAAACAGCTACCGGTGGCTTTCCCATCTCGCCATCACATGCCATCAGCTTCTGCACTGCTCCGCGCGGCGTTGACACATCAAGCCAACTGGCTGCAGCCAAGCTTAGAATCAAAACCTGAGGTTTAGGGTATCCCGCAGTTTTCGGAGATGCTAGGTGCTTGCTGCAAGAATTTTGGGTTGTTTAACCCATTAATCCATTACAAATCCATGACCACAGGTTGGCCTCACCGAGCGTTACTGACATGAGTTTTGAGCGTTTCACCGATCAATTCATGCGACTTTCCCATTTTTTTTCGCACGAATCTACAACATTTTAGAAGAATCTATGAAAACAAGCTGAAAGACCCAGTTTTGAAATGTTTATGAATATCTATCTACGTATATCTACGTATATCTATGTATATCTATGGATATCTATGAAATGTTGGGAACTCTATGGACCTTTGGACAACTCCTTTTTTGGACCCAGCGTCCGGGCGGAGTACCGGGGGGCCCGTCATGCGCGCCGCTGGGCTGGGGCTGGCGCTGAGTGCTCTGGTGGTGCTGCAGCTGGAGGTGCTGCTCTGCATTCTCCTGCAAATATTATATATATATAAATAATTTAATTACTACTATTACTATTATATATAATATAGTTATATATGTGATGATACATTTCAGCCAAGTACATCTAGGCTTAGATGCGTTGGAAGGCGACGATTGGATTTGTTTTTTCTGCACACGTGCTTCAGTGTTGGCTTTTGTTTCCTCTGAAGTGACAAAAGTGTCCAGGAGACATTGGTTAAGCCCCCATGAAGGGGCACAGATAAACATGAATTACATACAGAGATGAGAGTAATTACTGTATATATACATGTGTATATCTAGATGTATGTGTATGTGCATCTGCATGTGTATATGTGTATGTATATGTGTATTTTTATATGTATATGTGTATATTTGTGTGTACATATATATGTATATGTATATGTATATGTATACGTATACGTATACGTATACGTATACGTATAAGTATAAGTATATGTATATGTATATGTATATGTATATGTATGTGTATATGTGTATGTGTGTATGTGTATGTGTATGTGTATGTGTATGTGTATGTGTATGTGTATGTGTATGTGTGTATATATTTGTGTATGTACATGTATATGTGACTGTGTATGTATATGTGTATGTACATGTATATGTGTATGTATATGTGTATGTGTATATGTGTATGTATATGTATATGTATGCATGAATATATGTGCACCCATATTTCTACACCTGTATCTATATCTAGATATGTCTTTATCTATATGTGGATCCGTCTCTGTCTATATACAACAATATGTCTGCCTATCTACCTATCTATCTATCTATCTTTCTTTCTTTCTTTCTTTCTATCTTTCTGTGTGTCTGTCTGCCTGTCTATCCTTCTATCTATCTTCCCTTCCTATTCTATCCTATCATGTCCCATCCCACCCTGTTCTACCTAATCCTTTCCCTGCTTGTCTCTATTTCTATCTATCTGTCTGTCTGTCTATCTATCCAATTTATCCCAATCTATCCCAATCTATCCAATCTATTTATCTATATGTCTGATTAATTGAATTTACTCATAAATAATTAGATAGATTACCAAATACGACAATAAATGCATAAATAAACAGCATATGCGTATTTATGCATGTACAGTGCACGTATACCCGTGTCCAAAGACTAGCATCGATTGGTCATCCCGTTCGCAGGCCTTCGTGCCTGCCGCGGGACCAGCGGGCCGCGCTTCAACGGCGCGGGCCAAACTGGCTGCACAGAAGCAGGTTTCGAACGGTTCGAACGCATGGATTGGTGGGTCATTTTTTGGATGACACATCTACATCCAACTTGGACGACATATCACGTGCAACGACTTCCGGGGTTGGAATCTTGAAGATCATTTTAGTATTCAATTATATTTAATTTGGACGCTAGGTCATAATTGCGTCCGTCTTCGATTGCTGTGGGCAGATTTTGTTTGGCTGCGCAACTTTGGGGCCGGTGCCATGATGATCTCTATCCCACAACAGCAACGGAGATTTTCTCAGGGCCATTTGCCCCAAGGAAACTGACCGCAGTGCGCCCTGAAAAAGGGGTTGATTCTTGGATATCCCATCAACATAGTCGATTTTTCGATCTTGGATATCAAAAACTGCAAAGAAAAGAGACGAAAAACCACAAGCGCCAGGCGTTTTACGACTATTTGGCCAATGACTGGGCTATCTCAACTGGTGAGATGCCATGGGCCTCCAGCGGCTTTGCCTTCGCCGATTTTCTGCCGGCATCTGCCCTGGAGGCTGTGATGTTTGGACGTCCCAATTTCTGTTCCAACTTCGTGTGGGTGAAAATCGGTGAAAATCCATCCAGTTTTTGTTGGATTTTCTCTTGGAGGTGAAGGATGGTGAAGGCTGATCTTGAAACTGGAACCAGTTGATTTTCTTGGCCGGGAGGTGGAAGCGATTCAAGTCCTAGAAGAGAAGGCCGGGCAGATCCAATTGGGACTGGTTCGGGGTTCCGAACATCTCCATATTTCTGAGTTTTGAACCGTGACTGGGGTTTTGAATCTCCAGATTTCTAGGGTTTTGAGTGGAATCCCCAGAATTTTTTCAGGGTTGCGAGGCCCAGTGCCTTCTTTTTTTTTACTTCGCACGACCCAACTGGGCCATTTTGGGGTGTGGGTCCGATACCCCACAATGGGATCAATCCATCTGCGGTTCTTATTGCGAAAAATAAGCTGCCATGGATTTCCCCTTTGGACTGGCACAGCTAGTCTTTTTGTGATTCATATAATATTTCATTCACATATATATATATAGATAATAATAATTTTAATAATATACACATACGCCACCAGGTGCCGGACTGGCGCAAGGGCTTCCTCACGCCCAACGACGAAGTGGGGCTGCGACGGCGCTTCAGGTGGGATCTTGCTGGGGGTTGCCCCTTTATGATAGATATTGAAATTGATAGGGATTTTGATCTTGATATTGATATATACATGATATATATATATATATATGTGTGACTGTGTTTGTGAATCCCGTTATGATATTGATAGGGATGATAGATGCCAGAATAGCGATGCTCCCACCAAAACCAAAGTAGTTCCTGGTATTTTACCCTCACGGTTGGATCCATACAAATAACTGAACAGTCCCACAAATAGATGTGTTGAAGCACATAGATCAGGAAGAAGCCCCTACATTTGATGGTAAAAGACAATCCCTTAAGGTTTTAAACCAATGCATTGATATCAAAAATCCTTCGATTTTCCGCTATTCCAGGGCGCTTGCCGAAGCAGCCGGCGGTGAGGACCAGCCTGCGATCCTTGCAACCAGTTTTGGCATAGCCTTTTTGGTCATCCAGGTACTTGAAATCGAACGTTGATGTTACATCATATTCGTTGGTTCATATAAAGGATATATAGTAATGTTCCATTGTTCCCCACATCTTTGTGTGGGGTTCTTGTTTTTGATTCTGTATCCCGGGCTCCTCCTCCTCCGCCTTCTCCTCCTCCGCCCTCCTCCACACTTTGTCACCACACACTTGTCCACACACACTTTGTCACCACACACTTTGTCACCACACATTGTCAACACACACTTTGTCAACACACACTTTGTCACCAAACACTTTGTCCACACACACTTTGTCCACACACACTTTGTCACCAAACACTTTGTCCACACACACTTTGTCCACACACACTTTGTCACCACACACTTTGTCCACACACACTTTGTCACCACACACTTTGTCCACACACACTTTGTCACCAAACACTTTGTCCACACACACTTTGTCCACACACACTTTGTCACCACACACTTTGTCCACACAAACACTTTGTCCACACACACTTTGTCCACACACACTTTGTCACCACACACTTTGTCCACACACACACTTTGTCCACACCTTCGTTTCATGTGGCAGGCGTGGCACAAACTCACATCCACCGTCGTTTTGTGTGGCAGGCGTGGCACTCATGGTACTGTGTGGCGCGCTTGGTCCGGATTTGTCGCCCGGGGCGCCGCGTCACTTTGCGTGGCAGGCGTGGCACTTGGGGACATCCACCTTCGTTTCACGTGGCAGACGTGGCACAAACTCACATCCACCGTCGTTTTGCGTGGCAGGCGTGGCACTCATGGTACTGTGTGGCGCGCTTGGGCCGGATTTGTCGCCCGGGGCGCCGCGTCACTTTGCGTGGCAGGCGTGGCACTTGGTGACATCCACCTTCGTTTCACGTGGCAGACGTGGCACAACCTGACATCCACCGTCGTTTTGCGTGGCAGGCGTGGCACTCATGGTACTGTGTGGCGCGCTTGGTCCGGATTTGTCGCCCGGGGCGCCGCGTCACTTTGCGTGGCAGGCGTGGCACTTGGTGACATCCACCTTCGTTTCACGTGGCAGACGTGGCACAACCTGACATCCACCGTCGTTTTGCGTGGCAGGCGTGGCACTCATGGTACTGTGTGGCGCGCTTGGTCCGGATTTGTCGCCCGGGGCGCCGCGCCACTTTGCGTGGCAGGCGTGGCACTTGGTGACATCCACCTTCGTTTCATGTGGGAGGCGTGGCACAAACTCACATCCACCGTCGTTTTGTGTGGCAGGCGTGGCACTCATGGTACTGTGTGGCGCGCTTGGTCCGGATTTGTCGCCCGGGGCGCCGCGTCACTTTGCGTGGCAGGCGTGGCACTTGGTGACATCCACCTTCGTTTCACGTGGCAGACGTGGCACAAACTCACATCCACCGTCGTTTTGCGTGGCAGGCGTGGCACTCATGGTACTGTGTGGCGCGCTTGGTCCGGATTTGTCGCCCGGGGCGCCGCGCCACTTTGCGTGGCAGGCGTGGCACTTGGTGACATCCACCTTCGTTTCATGTGGCAGGCGTGGCGCAAACTCACATCCACCGTCGTTTTGTGTGGCAGGCGTGGCACTCATGGTACTGTGTGGCGCGCTTGGTCCGGATTTGTCGCCCGGGGCGCCGCGTCACTTTGCGTGGCAGGCGTGGCACTTGGTGACATCCACCTTCGTTTCACGTGGCAGACGTGGCACAAACTCACATCCACCGTCGTTTTGCGTGGCAGGCGTGGCACTCATGGTACTGTGTGGCGCGCTTGGTCCGGATTTGTCGCCCGGGGCGCCGCGTCACTTTGCGTGGCAGGCGTGGCACTTGGTGACATCCACCTTCGTTTCACGTGGCAGACGTGGCACAAACTCACATCCACCATCGTTTTGCGTGGCAGGCGTGACACTCATGGTACTGTGTGGCGCGCTTGGTCCGGATTTGTCGCCCGGGGCGCCGCGCCACTTTGCGTGGCAGGCGTGGCACTTGGTGACATCCACCTTCGTTTCACGTGGCAGGCGTGGCACAAACTCACATCCACTGTCGTTTTGCGTGGCAGGCGTGGCACCAGCTTTGACACACCCTCTTTCACACACCACTTTGTCACACACCATCTTTCGCACACCATCTTTCACACCCCACTTTGTCACCCACCATCTTTCACGCACCATCTTTCACACACCACATTGTCACCCACCATCTTTGACACACCCTCTTTTACACACCATCTTTGTAACACACCATCTTTGTAACACACCATCTTTCACACACCATCTTTTACACCCAACTTTGTCAAACAGCATCTTTGACACACCAAGTTTCACACACCGCTTTGTCACACACCACTTTGTCACACCATCTTTCACCACACCATCTTCCACACACCATCTTTCACCACCCCATTTTTCACACACAACTTTGTCACACACCATCTTTGACACACCATCTTTCACACAGCACTTTGCCACACACCGTCTTTCACACACAACTTTGTCACATGCTCTCTTTCACACAGGACTTTCACCCACACCATCTTTCAGCACACCATCCTTCACACACCACTTTGTCACACACCATCTTTCACCACACCATCCTTCACACACAACTTTGTCACACACCGACCATCTTTCGCCACACCATCTTTCACACACCACTTTGTCACACACCATCTTTCACACACAACTTTGTCACACACTCTCTTTCACACACAACTTTCACACACGCCATCTTTCACACACTGCTGTGTCACACACACACACCATCTTTCACATTCCACTTTGTCACTCACAACTGTTTTAACTTCTCGATCCTTCACCGCCTCCTTTCCCCTAACCTTCTTTCCCCGTCCCTGCTACAACCTTTCATGCTTATTATTGGAAGAAGTTGACTTGTGGGGTTATCCGGTCCTTTAATTAATGAAGACCTTGCAGAATACGCGTGGTTTCGACACGTTTGAGAATCTCACTTGACTAGACTAGACTTTCCCGGGAAGTTTTACCGCAACCAATTCTAGGAGAAGTGTATGGGCATGAAGGATTCAGCAAAAAAGGAGAAGTACCTTTTTTTGACATTTCAAACATGTTTTGTTTCATCTTTGGGAGAGGGTGGATGATACGTGTAGCATATGTGTAGCGTTTTTGTGATCCTTCAAAGGCATAAGTTGCCACACTGTCAAGCGACCTTCAGGCCTTTCCAAGACCCATTGTGCATTGCTTCTGATGTTTTGATAGCAGGATTCCATCATGTAGCCTCTGCTAATTTGACATAGCTACAGAAAGGTAATTCTAATGCTCGTCATCAAATGCGTCATCGAAACAATTTATCAGTCAACGATGATACAGGGTCGAACTAAATGGGCAATTGATATCCATAGCTACAGTAAAACTACCAGAGGCTGCTGTAATTCTTCCACCAGATCTAGATCTTTGGGTCAAAGTTTGGACCAGTTTGGACATGGTGTCCGCCTTTCAGTGAAGACGGCCGGGTAGCCATGAGGGCTTCATCAATCCCTCAGGTTTCCTGCAGATCCAGCGGAAGTGGGTTGTGCTTCTCCCATGAACGAACCAAGGGCCTAAGGGGATCATGAAAACATCATCCCATTGTGGATCAGCATGTAGGTCCGCATCCCCCACGGAAAAACATGGACTCATCACCTCCGCAGGCGAGCGTGTCCAACGTGGCCTTCATTGACAAGGACCATGGGACCATCACAGCTACGCCTACTGAGTAGGTGACACCGACGGAGCGCATTCTGCCACCAAAAAAAGGTTGAAATTTTCGATCCATTTTTTTAGGGTGACCCTTGGATCATCCGTTGTTTTGTGGGTCAGGTTTCAAGCACTAGAGTTTTTGGAAGGCCATCCACTCAACCACTCGGAAAGGAGCTCATTTCCTCATCTGGTCGCATGCGCATTCATCCAGTTGCTTTTTAACAACCATCAAATGAGGGTTTCCATAAATTAGGGCTACCCCCAAATCATCCATCTAGAGGCCTTGGGAGTTTCCCTAAACCAACCA